TTGGAAAAGGAAAAAGAAGGCAATGGTTTTTAAGAAAAACCAACTTTGGTCATTACAACCAGAGTTAGGTAAGGGAGTTAGTTACGTGTGGGGAAGGTATTAGCTTCCCCACGATGCCCCTTTCGGGTTCCCTATGATGGACTATTTTTGTAAATAAATAAGAACTTTAAAACTACACTTTTACCCTTATTTATTCATTGCAAAAATTAAGTTATCGACTACATGACCCTTAATAACTAATGCACAAATATAATAAAAGCAATAAAATAGAAATAGGGATATGAAAGAACCTTCAAAGAAAGCTTTTTATAAAGTATTCTCGAAAAGAACGCTTTTTGACGAACCCCACACTCTACAAAGTAGTTCACTCTTCTCTCGAAGCACTTTAGAACGTTTCTTAAGAACTCTAGAACTCTGGAAATGCTTCAGAGGGGTCTTAGGAGAGTATTTTGAGAATTATGCAGTTGGAGAAGTTGTAGAATGGTGTGAAAACAAGGAGAAGGTCCCCCCTTTTATAGGAATTCGCACCTGTCAGGTTGGGACCGTCGTCTCGCCAAACGAGACGATGGTCTCACCTTTGGCGAGTGGCGAGATGACGGTCTCGTCAAACAAGACGGCGGTCTCGCCAAACGAGATGGCGGTCTCGACCCTTTGAGTGGAATTTCTTATTTTTCGTACATAAAAATCCTTCATATTCTAATATGGGGCCTATTGGTCAATCCTAGGGACCTTTTAGGCCTTGCCCATCTTCGAACGGAAGTCTTATGCGCTTTATTTTGAGGCGGGGCAAGACTTGGGGTCTACACTTTTCTTACTATAAAATAAGCATAGTGTTTACCTTGTAAAACACACCAAAATCACTTCCTTTTCTTTCTCTTGCTGCTTTAGTACTTGATAAATAAATTAGAGAGAAAAATAGTTTCTCCTTTTAGGTTCTCTTAGAGTTGTTTTCCCTTTATTTTCAGGAGAGGGTATTATTGTTTCCTCTTTGGAGGTAGAGAGAGAAGGGTTATAATTTTTTTCATTAATGGACTTACTCTTTTGCCTATTGTCGGTGTTTATCTCATCTTTTTATTTTAGTTGTGTATGCTTATGTTTTAGTCTGATACATAACACACAATGGTTATTTCTTGGGTTCAACGATCGGTGCATGAAATCATTCTTAAATCCATTCTCTAGATCGAACATGCTTCCGATGTTTGGCAAGATTTGTACCATCGCTTTCATCAAGGAGATATTTTTTGTTTTTGCATATTTACAGGAAGATTTATACAAATTATACCAAGGTACGCTCTCTATAACTGAATTTTACACAGAGTTACATACGTTTTGGGAGGAAATCGATAATTTTTGTTACTTTGTTAACTGCAATGTACTATCAAATGTTATTGTGATGCTCTTGATTCTGTCCGACACTATAAGCAACAAGATTATGTCATTTGATTTTTGAAAGGCCTCAATTATCAGTATACCTCCGTACGATATCGGATTATGTTAATCGATCCTCTTCCCGATTTTACCAAAGTTTTTAACATAGTCCAGCAAGAACGTCAATTACATTCTGTTCTTAGTTCTTCTGAAACTGTTCTTGATTCATAAGCTCTAGCTGCTACTACTTCTCTTAATTTGCAGTCCAAGAATGATGATGTTTCTAACTCGAGTTCTTTCTATAGAGGACGAGACAAAGATCATTCCTTTCCAAGGGTCGTGACAAAAATAATGGAGGGAAAAGTTTCCATGGTAATAAATTCTACTCTTATTGTGAACGCACAAATCACACAGTGGATACATGTTATTTCAAACATGGTTTTCCACAAGGATATAAAAATCATGACCAATGCTTAAATTTACTGAAGAGAAGTATCATTGCATTCTAACTCTTTTGCAACAATGCAAATCTCCTGCACATACAACAACTTCATTGTTTAGTCCTTCAGTTAATTCTTCTTTCACTCTTATTAAAACTCCTTCTGTTCTTCCAGGTAAAACATCTCTTAAATGGCTTCTAGATATAGGAGTCACCAATCATATCACTTTTGATTTCACAGTTTTGTCACTCATAGATCTGTTTCACCTATTTTCATAATTTTGCCAAATGTTGTCCAAGTTTCCACTTTTATATATGGTACTGTTATGTTGTCATATTCCTTAATTCTTCATGATATTATTTTTGTTCCCAACTTTCATGTAAATTTGGTTTATGTTAAAAAATTGAACCAAACCTTGCGATGTCATCTCCTTTTTTAATCTAACTCTTATGTTATTTTGCAGCAAACCTCCTAGAAGATGATTGGTTCGGCTAGCTTGCACCAAGGATTGTATGTGCTAAATGTATCTCACTCTTATCACGACCATCATCATGTTTCTGCTCATATCACTACTACCAAACTCAAATATGCTTCTCTTTGACATCATAGATTAGGTCATGTCTCTGACTCTATTTTTCGTATTATTTTTCAACAATATCATTTTATCCCTTGCTCTGATATTATCTTACCTGTTGATATACGTACGGTGGAATTCATATATTTTTATTAAGAATTTGTCACTCTAAAAAGGAGTACAAATAAGTTATATATATAATCTCGTAAAACATGAAAGAAAGAATCTATCATAACTAAAAATAATACAAAAGAGAAAAAATAAAATTTGTTATAAAAAAATAATTATGGTAATATTATTATTTATCTTGGACTATTTTTGTCTATGCAAATGTTAGTGTTTGCTAACAAAAGTTTTACAGGGTGACACTAAGGATAGGTTAAAGGTGGTAATGAAACAACAAGAGCATATGAAGTTAGCCTTACAGTTCAAAATTCTCATGTGTTGTGTAACCCTTTTGGATTTTCGTTTATTTAAAATTGTTATTTTTATGATATTTTGTTTACGTGAATACTTGATTCATTGTGTGTTATTAATTAAATGTTTTTGACATATTGTTCATTAAAGTAACGTCAAAAGTTTGCTGAAAGAAAGATGTAATAAACAAAGGTAAAGGTGGAATTCAAAAGCAAATATTAATTTTCATTTCATATTAATGAAAACATTATGTTTCCATTCTCGCACTTATATCTCCATTTTTTGTTAAGTTAGAGTGAAAGGACTGTTGTTTTGAGCCTCATAGTAGCGGACATACGTCTGAGGCCAATGACAATGGAGGTGTTAATCTTTATCCCAACTGATAATGTTGTTAGGCAAATCTTTTTATATTTATTACTATTTGCATACAAATGCACAAACCGCATCATTTGCCAATACCCATCATGTTAAATACTAATTACATGGTTGGAATATAATTGGAACAACCGGTGAAATAATTTGAGTTGAGTTGTTCCTGAGTCCATTTTTGTTAGAAGAATCACTGAAATGAAATGGATGCTTGCAAGAAAATACTGTATTAGCATTTATACTGGTTGCACCCACATTTTACTACCCTTTATTATCAATATCCTGACCCTGATCCTTTTTAAAATTTTATAATTTATATCAATATTTATGAAGTCAATTATTAAATATAATTGTAGGTATATTTATAAATTTAATCTCTTATTTTTTATTTTTTTATTTATTTATTATTTATTAATAATATATTATTTAACTGTTAAAAGATTAATATGTGCCTGTAGCGCACCCATCCCACTAACCTCTCTTCCAAGTATGACACATTATCATTTATTTATTCACCATCCATTTAGTAAATTTATCCTACCAAAGTGAAACGCTTTTGATAAACCAAGTTAATAATTTGTGATTGAATAATATAGTAAAACTTATTTGAATTTTTCTTGAGTCAATTTTTTTCTTCCTAAATTCAGTTGTATTTTTGTCAAATTTAAAGAAAAGCCATTGGAGTAACAAATATTATTAATAGTGCATCTTAATTTTTCTCATCATTTAACTATTATACGTGGGAGAATAGTGAACAAGTTAAAATAAGATAATATCATAATATGAATTTTATGGTTCATGATTTACTATATTTGATGTAGATTGTCTTCATAATTTTATATCATTTAATGTTTATAATTTATGTAAAGATGATAATTAATGGTGCAAGTTATACTACGGGTATTTTGTGTTATAAATTCCTTCTATATGTGGTGAACTACAAACAAAAACATAATAAATTTTTCAACAAGCTTATCAACCTACCAAATCATTATTATTTTTATTAATTATTTATATTATTATTATTATTATTTATTTATTAATATTTTTATTGTTTTATTAACAATCATTATCTATCAACATAATTCATCATCTATCATCCACAATTAAACATCTTAAATTATACATCATTAATCACCTAATATCCCTCATCATGCTAAGTCTCATTAATCATCTTTCCCAACATCGGTTAACTATTATGTTACTTAATTAAAGTATGTACCTAAATATTATAAGTTGAATTTTTGTTAATATATATAATGATAATAGCAATAAAAAGGACTAAAACAATCGATTAGAAATGATAGTGATTTAGAACTCAATTAATTTTAAAACAGACAAAACCACACTTGCGTAGACTAAAAACATTTATAATTTTTTTCGTGTCAATGTAGTTATCCATATTTATTCTTCACTGTTGTTAACACCACGGATAAAACAAAATTATTGAATACAGGAAAGATTCGTCAGAAGGAAAAAAAAATAATCATTACTCCCAATAAGCTCAATTCTGATCGATTCATTTTATGAACTCATAATGTCGGAAAAAATGGACAGAGCTGTTTGTTACCGTACAGTCTCCAGAGTAGACGAGGCTGCAGATCCTAAATTACAAGTATACAAGCAGCATGGGATGACCATCCCAATCAATTTTCAGAAAGCACAATAACAGCAGCTACAGAATCAATGATTTAACTTTTTCCTCGTATATAAGCGAAGTTGTACAAAATTTCAGAAAATAAATAAAGATGACAAGCCGACAGCTTGCCCTCCAAAATTCAAGCTAACTTCAGCTTGGCCTCTTCACTTCCTTAACTCGTTTCTTCATTTAATCAAACTCGCTTCAAGTACGTTAATATGCCTAAGCCAGCAACAAGTGCAGCTCCAGCTGCCGCAGCACTATATGCAGAGGTCCATGCATCTGAATAAGCATAACTTCCTGAACGAGAACCTTTCAAATCGCCACGTTGTCCTCCGAAGTCTAAGTGCAATTTCAACCCCTACAACATCAGTCAATCTGAAGTCAAACTCCTTCTAAGACAGTGTACACTTGTAAACATCTTTACCATATATGACAACACCAAAATCTACACAAACGGAATTCTAAATTTTAGTCTACACTTCACATATAGTTTCGTACTTTTGGTACTTCTATAAAAAAAGTCGTGATACTTATAATTTTTAATAAACAAGAGAGACTAATTTGTACAAATTTTCATATAAGTACTAAAATGTAGTATTTTTGAAGTAGGGGGCTTAAAACAAAAAAGAAACATCGAACATAGAACTAAATTTATAACTTAACCTAAACTATTGTCCCCTCATCTGTCTCTAAACAAAAAGCAAACAAAACCTTTCTTCAAGACTCCTGACCTGAAGATAAACCTACCATACCTTCAAACCAGCTGTCTTTGCGTGATCCACAGCTGCTGCAAGATCACTGTCTGAAGCCAATATAACTTTATCATGATCTTCATCTTCATACTACAAAGGCAAATACAGCCAGCTTACCTTAGAAGAGGGTAACATATAAAATCAATCTCAATAATATAAAAAACTCTTGAAAAGTACCAAAATTTGGGGTACGTTGTTAGGATCAATATCATCACCAAGTCTCTGAATGATTGAAGTTATAACCTCTTTCATGCTCCGGGTATCTGAACATGCAAGCAACCACACAAACAACTCAACTGGTAATTTCTCAACAAAAGCATAGTTCTCTTGAAATAAGCTGATTGCATGCAAGAATTAGTTATTACAACAGAGCTACTTGTCAATATGTTAAATATACATGCAATCCAATCATATATATTAAAGTGCAACTTATAGAAGGACTAGATATGAGCATATATAGAAACCATCAGTTATATGCTGTCAGAGATAGAAGGAAAGTGCAGATAAAAAGCTGATCATTAACATGTGATAGTTTGCATACCACATGTGAATCTGTGCATTCTGCCCTTTCTATCTTGTATTTTGAAGGAAAATGTGTAGGCCATGGTTGATGAAAGATGAGGAATGGACCTCGCCGTTTCTCCTCCCTCTGAAGCCAATTTCAAGGAACTGTCACTGGTACATAATCAAATGCGTAAGTATATAAAAAATTAGGAAATATTTCTCCAAACAACTTAAATGCCAATAACCTTCGTGTATCATCGTCATCATCATTTGGGGTTAAGGACATGGCTGAATCCCAAAATCTTTGCATCAAGGTGGTTGCAGCTTCATTATTCCCAACCTATTAGTGGAAAGAAAATGACACCGTCATTACATCCAACCTTATTGTACCGATAGCAAATGTTTTTTAAATTTGTTAGTATTATTCCATTAGGAGCTGCAGATGTTTTGGTCCATCATATTTCATCTTCCTTTCTATTATCTTCCAATCCTATACTTAGGAAAATTTTATAAATGAAAGAATAAAGATGTAAATTAGCTGCCTTAGATTTAATCATTCATTTGTAGTTGCTGAAAAGCTTTCAGATTCTTAAATTTCCAATCAGCTAAAAGAATGGCAGAAGACCAAAATCAAAATTAGCATTTTAACAGTTTCAGAAAAAAAAAATGGCTAATCTAGAACAATTCATAATTTCTGTTAAAATATTATCAATTCATGAACAGTCCATAAGCCTAAATGTAACAATAACAATAAAAACCAAATAAGATCAGGTCACAATATTTTACTAGAATCATTCTAAAAGCTATTTCATGACTAAAGTCAGATCAAATTTTCATGCAACATAGATTTAATATTCTTGCCAACAATAGTATAGTAGTCGGTTCCAAAGTCCAAGATAGATAATACACCTGACTTACTGTCGCCACAGCAGCATGAGTAACATGAATCACATCGACCACAGCAACTACACTGCCATCTGTTTTGAACCACCCAAACCAAGTTAGAAAAAATATTGAAGCATATATCTGTTAAATCTCCCTTGTCCCATATATTTTACAATTTACATTACCTCTATCAATCACAGGAAGATGCAAAAATTTTCCGTCATGCATGGTGTGAAGTGCATCAACAATGGGCGTATCAATTACTACACATTCTGGATTTGGAGTCATGACCTGCATATTTATCAAATAAGAGCAACAAGAAAAGAAGGAACACTCAGAATGACCAATTTTTCATCTAACACGATTGAAAATATAGGATCTTAAACATTAATAGATATAGATTTTGCAGAATCAAAGAATGAAAGGGGGAAGCAAAAATAGTTTATTCTAAACAATGTAAAAACAAAAAGAAAGTACCTTCTCTATGGGAGTTGATTCTGGAGAAAGATTTTGGGCAATCACCCGCAACAAGATATCTTTTGAACTGAAATTTTTAAAAAGTCATTAAAATCAGTCTAACCGTACATAATCACAAATGGGGGGGAAAAAATTGAGGAAGGTCGACTACTTGTTATGTTAATGACCACAAACTTACGTAAAGATGCCGTGAGGCTTGTTATTAACAGTCACAACAGCACAACTTTCATGAAATTCAACCATCTTCTTTGTTGTTGTCAGCACCGAGTCTGTTGGTGATACTGTTACAAGCCTACAAAGAGCCATTATCTGTCAAAGCAAGTTCGATGGTAACAAAACATGCAGACAATTTAAAATTTATATAATTATTTCAACTCCAACAAAAGAAGGTATTACCTACTTTGAATTATCGGGAATGATTGTAGACAATGATGGCTTGAATATTTGCTCCCGAAGAGTTTCAATGAATGATGTATTGGAGTCTGTGCAAAGGCCAAGTTAGCATAAAATACAACGTATTATTAAAAACTGCGAACCTAGCTTTTCTTGAACCGTTATCCAAGTACAGCATCATACAAATCAAGAACAAAACATGAAAAAGGAAATGGTTTACAAAGCAGAACCTGTTGTTCCCCAGTGTTTTTCCACTCCTTCAACAGCTGCTGCAATTGCTTTTCCTTTCTCAGCTGCCCTTTCCATTCGGGCAATGGCATCATGCAAACACTTGGCTATGTCTAATAAAGCCAAAACTTCCCCGTTCTCCACCACAGGTAAATGTCTGAATTTCCCTGTCACCAAATATCAGCCATGTATTCAAAAGGCAAGATACAGAACAGTAACTAACTTGAAAAAGTTTCGCGTTTCTCTATATACACTACAAACCTTGCACCATCTTTTGAAGGGCTTCCGCAGCAAGAGTTTCAGAAAGGACAAATACTGGATTCCTAGTCATGACCTTGGAAACTGGTGTGTTTTCAAGGTTAATCTCTTTGGCAATAACTCGTGTTGCTATATCCTTTATTTAACCACAAAATAGAACATGAAGCTATGTAAGTTAAAATTGCATAAACCCAGGCATAGATTCAACTTTCTTTTCTTTCTTGTTAAAAATTGAGAAAACAAGTACGAAATATACCTTGTCCGTGAGGATTCCACAGAGTAAAGCATTAGAATCAGTTAGTAATAGAGCATCCACTCTGCGGGCTGCCATCCGACGACAGGCTTCATAGATGGTTGTTGTTTCAGGCACCGTCAGAGCCTTTGAAAGTCGCAATGATTTCACTGTTCGCTCTCCTGATAATACCCTGATTCAATTTCATGTACGAACATCCCATTATTTACATTGATAGAACTTTCAATGATATATCTTCTGTTCTTAGATACTTATGTTATGAAAGCCTATCATAATATTGCTCAAACATAATCTATTTGAGTGCATTTAGCAAGTCATGAAATGAATTCAAAATTCTCTAGTGAACCTTTAATGTGTGTGTGTGTGGCCATGTGAATATCATATACCTCTGCAACCGACTAAAAATTATAAGGGGGAAGGGGGGAAATTTTGTAAGGACATAAATGTCAAGGCATACATCTACTTACTAGAAAAGAAGTAAATTATTCTAGGATTCAACTTTTTTTATGCCTACTTAGACTTTAACAACATAAAAGTATTTCAACCAAGTAAAGTTGATGGTAGAATCATAGCAACCGACCCCAAAGCAGTACAATATTGTAAACCGACCACTCATTATCGTAAAAGACCTTTATTTTCATTATTGTAAACCAACTACTCAGCCAGTCAGGCAAGAGTTTGCAAAGCCATTTGTTTGACGTAGAACCTTTGACAATACCGAGTTTCATAATTACATAACCCAAATAGCTGCTCATAAAAGCGATAACCATCGGAAGACCGCAAAAAATAGCTACAGCCATAAAATTCGTAATATTTCAAATTATTAAAAGGTTAATTTTAGCACTTTAAACAGTAAACACAGAGAAGATGAAATAAACAAGCTATGCACGATAAAGAAGGATTTTATTACTATAACATAAAAAACACAGTCAAATTAAAAAAAAATAAAAATAAGGAAGGGTTTAAGATTCAAATTTACGATTGGCTTAATATGGCCATGGTAGCAAAATTATAGATTATTACAGCGGCGGAAATAAACAAGAAAGATAGTGAATAAAAACAACATACACAGGTCGCGAAGAGGTAATTGATTTTCGAGTAGTAGCGTGAGTCACTCCTGATTCGGAGGCTTTCTTCGTCGAGGAAATACTCCTTCGAGAGGCACCGGTTTGACTTGCCATCTTCTTTGTGCTCGCTCCAATATCGCTGCAACCAAAAGAACGTGAAAAACACACAGAATCGGACACAGAAAACGAAGAGTAAAAAAATCGAAGTCTTAGAGTCGTACAAGCTAGCTACAGCTCCGAACTAAAACAGATTGATTAAGTTCGAATGGTGAAGTCGAATTGGAGGCGGTTCAGGCAGCGGTGGCCGGAAATATTGCCGGAAAAAGGTTTCCGGCCGGCAAGGGAAAAGAGGGAAAAAGAGAGAGGGGGGAGGAAGGCAACCCTACAGAGAGAAGAATGGATGAGAAAGAAGAAAAGAGATAGAGAAAGAGAATTTCAACGTTACTTGGATGAAGCCAATTGCAGGCGTGCACGTCACTGATTCCTTTTTTGTTGGAAAAGTGTAATAATAACAAATTAATAGGTATTAATAAAATAACCTTGTACTCTCACGGTCATGGTTGACATGAATTTTTCACGTGTCACGATGATTTATTTATTATTTTGGTTAAAATGTCATCAAATTATCTTAGATAAATATTTATTAAGAATAGAAAATTAAATTTCTTTTATTAAAAAATTATATTGATATATTCATTGCATTGAGAAATAATCAAATTATTCTAACATATTTTTTATCAATTAACATCTCTTATATAAAAATTAAAAATTATGGACACGATATGGTTATTGATTAACTTGGTTTCAATTATGCACAGAAGAACGATTTTGTTAATATATTAATGCTGATTTTAGTTAGAAATATAAACCAGTCAAACAAATTAAGTTTAGGTTACGAAAAATGATATTATTGGTTTGACTGTTTTTTTTTAAATAGGTCAGAATAAAAGTTTGAATTTGATTTGGTTATAATTTTTAGGTATAAGTTTGACTGATTGTTCAGTTTGTAACTTTTTTGTATTCTCTTAAAAAAATATATTTATTAATTACCAAACACACTCATATTAGAAAGTGGACCATAACCATAATAAAATGGTACTTAAAAATATTATTATTTATTTAAAATAAGATTCTTTAACATTATTGTGTTAGATATTTATGTATGAGCATAATTATCATTTGACATATTTATAGATACAAATTGAACTCAACAATTATATATGATCTAATAATTTAATATAAAATAAATATTGATAATCAACTATCAAATATTTATAACACTCTAATTTGATAGTGTATCTCACTAAAATTTCACAGGATAAAAATTTAGTGAAAAATACTAGTAAAAGTAAAAGAGTATATCATAATTTAATACACTCATGGGAGTAAAATTATGGTAATGGAAAAATAAATATTTTTAAACTCATTAGAGTGAACATAAAAAATATGATTTTTTTAATATAAAACCTTTAAAACACTTTTGTTTCTTGATTAACAAAAGTTATATTATTTAAATATTTAACTTTCTAAACATAACTTGATACTCTTTTTTAGGTCCTCTTTCTTTAACCAGTTAATAGTTTTTGGAAGTTCTTCGATAATTCTAATAAAATTTATGTAATATTAATAAATAGTAATTTTGATATTTCCCATATTTTTTTCATAAGAAAACAAAAGATATCAACTTTATATATTTTATCGAATACCCAATAAAAAAGTATGTTTTTCTAGTTTGATTAACTTAATTGAATGAGTATACCAATGATTCTCCGTATAAAAAAGTTTTATATTTTGATTCTCAATACTTTATCCTAATAATATCTACTAATAGGTTATTTTCTGTTATTAGAATGTAAAGTATCTTTTTAAGTATTCTCTCATCATCCATAATCAACGACAACTTAGAACATGAGGACTTACTCTCCTTAAGATCATCCGAACTAGAGTAAAAAAAATAAAATTGAGCAATAGGAATGAATTCACAACAACCCAAAATAAAAGGTTATTACTCGATCTTACAATAATAAATCTTATAAAAATTAAATAAATGATATTATCAAAATAGTTGAATAAATATGTCATATGATTTAAATCATTCATGTGCAATTTGATTGATCGAGTAGACGGAATTTTAATCTTTGACGCGGAATGAGATTGATAGAGTGCTAAAAAGTTTTACTGATTTATCAAGTGGTAATTTTTTTTTAAATAAATACATTTAAAAAAAATGAATATGGGTAAATCATGTGTTTAGAATATAATTTTACATTAAAAAAAGCCTTGTACAAAAACATGATTTCTACTTTCTTTCTTTTTTTAATACAAAAGTCATGTATTATTTAATACACAATTTCTGAAATATTTTTATTGGAATTGTGCGATGAACAACTTTAGTTAAGTTTTTTCAGGTTTGTTTTTTATTTGTAATTATTAAAACTGACATCCATCCGAAGGCAAGGATACTGGCGTTCTGGTGGTCAAGCGATCATCTTCAACCCTAATCAGTCACGATGATGGACCACTATAAGATGTGGGAGAATGAGGTGCAGTGCAGGCACTTGGCTAAGAATATTGTGCAAGCCAACCCTAATGGTAGCAAAACTTAAATTAATAGTTTGATATTTCTATAATAGTATTAATACTTCTATACATCAGTAACATAAACAAAATATGAATTGTATATAATAGTTATTATGATTTATTTTTGGTATTTGAAAAGATAAACATTTTATCCATAAATATTTGTAACAACTTGAAATCGTAGCAGAAGAAACATTGAGAGACTAAAAGAAAACATAATGCTGTCAACTTTTACTTTCTACCTACTTGTTGCCAATAAAACATCAGAGTTTGTGTGTGTGAGGTGAGCGTGAGAAAACCTATCAAACCTCAAGAAAGGACGCCATGGTGTGCACTAGCTAAAAAAGAGAGAGGAGGGGCTGAGAGTTTTGTGAGGTGTGAGTTGAGTACAAACACTAGAGAAATGACAGGTCTAACCAATGACATCCTGCTACCCAAGTTGACGAAAGACGCCAACTATAACAACTGGAAGGTACAAATAAAGGTCCTTCTCGGCTCCCAAGATAACTGGGATGTGGTCGAGACTAGGTATGAGGAACTGACAAACACAAATGGGTATTCAAATGCCCAGCTGAGCACGTTGAAGACCATTTGAGCTAAAGACAAAGTGGCTCTGTATATGCTATACCGAGCCATTGATGAATCTGACTTTGAGAAGATAACCAACACAAAATCTTCTAAAGTAGCATGTGATACACTCAAAAAAGCAAACAAAGGAGATGAACGAGTGAAGTAAGTTTGACTTCAAGCCCTTAGGGGTGAGCTGGAAAACATGAAGATGAAAGAGTCTGAAAGCGTATCCGGGTTCATTACTCGGGTGGAGACCGTGGTGAATAAGCTAAATCGGAATGGTGATAATCTTTCATCAAACCGAGTTGTTGAAAGATTTTGAGGTCATTGATGGATGATTTCAAAAACATCGTGTGCACAATAGAAGAGTCCAAGGATCTATCAACGCTCACCCTTGAAGAGCTTGCTGGGTCCTTGGAAGCACATGAGAAGAGAAGAAAAAATAAGAAGGGGGAGTGTCTTGAACAGGCTCTCCAGGCGAAGGCAACAATAAAAGAGAAGAAGATGCTCTATGCTCAGAGTACCAGAGGCCAAGGAAAAGGCAAAGGCCAAAGTGGTAGAGGAAGAGGAGGACGAGAAAATGAGCAAGTCATCCAACAGAACTGGCGTACCCGAGGTTAGGCTCAGGATGGCCGGACAAACACAAATAATATTAAATGCTATAACTGTGGAAAGTATGGGCATATTGCCAAGGATTGTTACTCGGTAAAATGCTACAATTGTGGAAAGTTGGGTCATATTTCCAAAGATTGTAGGTCCGAGAAGAAAAAGGAGGAACCAACAAACTTCCTTGCCGAGGAAGAAGATGAAGGATTGTTGATGGTGACAAACATTTCAGAAACTGAGGTCAAACCGAGTTGTTCTAATAACTCGGTTTGGTACTTGGACACCGACGCAAGTAACCACATGTGTGGTGATAAACGCTTATTCAAAATACTTTCAAAGGTGGAGTCCGGATCCGTTTCTTTTGGCGATGCTTCGAAAGTAGCTGTCAATGATCGAGGAACAATCTGGTATCAACAGAGAAATGGGTGAATCGGAGATATCAGATATATATACTACGTACTTGATCTCAAAAGCAAATACTGCGAAGAACATGGGATCAAGCGTTTCTTGATTGCCCCATATTCTCCGCAGCAAAACGGTATAGTGGAACGAAAGAGCCGAACTATCCTCGATATGGTTTGATCTATGTTGAAAGGGAAGAATATGCTGAAGAAGTTTTGGGCAGATGCGGTGTAGTGCACAGTCTATATGCAAAATAGATGTCCACATGCAAAGCTAGGCGAGAAGACACATCAGGAGATTTGGAGTGGTATGAAGCCGAGTGTCTCTCATCTGAAGGTATTCGGTAGTGTGGCCTATGGATAAGTACCAAGTCAGCACATGACAAAATTAGAAGATCAGAGCAAGAAGTACATATTTATCGGGTATGATGAAAAATCTAAAGCATGTAAATTGTTTGATCCTGTCAACAATAAAGTGGTGGTAAGCCGAGATGTTCAGATGGAGGAAACAAAGCAATGATGCTAGAGTAACCCCATCGAAGAAGAAACTAGCTCAGAAATTGTTGTGTCTTCAACAACAGCAACAACCATCAAGTCCTCAGATGAAGAAATAGAGCCACAACAGCCCAGGATGAGAAGTCTGCAGGAAATATACGACACTACAAATGAATTTCATGTTGTATGTTTTTTGGCTGACTTTAAAGACTTGGGTTTTGAGAAAGCTATCCAAAATGAGAAGTAGAGAAAAGTTATGGATAAGGAGATTAGAATGACGCAACAAAACTTAGGAGTTGACTGATCTTCCTGAAGGAGCTCGACTCATTGGAGTAAAATGGGTGTACAAAAAGAAGATGAATGTTGAGGGAGAGTTTGAGCGTTATAGGGCTTGACTTGTGGTGAAGGGCTATAGACAAAAGGAGAGAATCAACTATGATGAAGTATTTGCTCCTGTCACGAGAATGAACTCAATCTAACTTCTGATTTCATTAGCTGCTCAAAATCAATGGTCGATTCTATAGATGGATGTGAAGTCGGCCTTTCTAAATGGAGTGCTGAAGGAAGAAGTGTACGTCGAGCAACCACTAGAGTACATGAAGAGAGGGGATGAGAAGAAGGTGTTGAGATTAAGAAAAGGCCTCTACAGGCTAAAACAAGCTCCTCGTGCCTGGAATGAGAAAACTGGTGAGTATTTCAAGAAAAATGGGTACAAGTAATGTCCATACGAGCATGCCTTGTACACAAAGAAATCAGAAAAGAATATGATGGTAGTCGCTCTTTATATCGACGACATCATATTCACTGGAAGCAATGCGAAGCTGATTAAGGAGTTCAATGAGGTAATGAAGAAAGAGTTTGAGCTGACAGACTTAGGCTTGATGAAATATTTTCTTGGCCTAGAAGTGAAGCAGCTAGAGGAAGGGATTTTTATATCCCAAGAGAGATACGCGCTTAAAATTTTAAAGAAGTTTAAAATGGAGGACTGCAACCCGGTTTCTACTCCAATGGAACCAGACACTAAACTCTCAAAGTTTGATGGAGGAAAACGAGCTGATTATGGGAGATATTGAAGCTTAATCAGAAGTTTGAGGTACCTTACAAGCACGAGACCCGACCTAATGCTGATTGTTGGGATAACGAGTAGATATATGAAAAATCCAAACTACACACATTGGAAGGCCTTGAAGAGAATTCTAAGATATGTTCGAGAAGCCCTACCACTTGGTGTTTTCTATTCAAAATCGGATGACTATTGATTAGTGGGTTACTCGGATAGTGATTGGTGTGGTGATGTTGATGACCGGAAAAGTACTTCGGGTTATGTATTCCTACTCGGAAAACAAATTTTACTTAGCTGTCAAAGAAGCAACTCATTGTAAGTCTGTCGACCTACGAGACTGAGTATGTGGTGGCCTCTTGGAGTGTGTGTCATGCAGTCTGACTTTCAAATCTACTAAGGCATCTGGGAGTGATCCAAGGCGAAGAGACTGTAATCCGAGTTAATAACAAGTCGACGATCGAGTTGGCAAAGAACCCAATTAATTATGGAAGGAACAAACACATCGACGTCCGATTTCATTTCATCCGAGAACAAGTCAGAGAAGGAAAGGTCGAGTTGGTGCATGTTGAAAGCCGAGCTCAAACCGCGGACGTATTCACCAAGCCACTGCCGACATATAGCTAGAGAGTTGTAAAAGGCTGATTGAAATGAAAGATGGGAAGAGTATTTAAGTTTAAGGGGGAGATTTGTAGTAAAACTTAAGTTAATGGTTTAGTATTCCTAAAATAGCATTAATGGTTTTAAGCATGAGGGACATAACAAAAAAATATAAATTATATTTAATAGGTATCATGGTTTACTTTTAACATTCAAAAAGACAAACATTTTGTCCATAAATACTTATAAAAACTCATTTAAAATCGTAAAAAGAGAAATATTAAGAGATTAAAAAAAATAATAATAAAACGCTGCCAACTTTTACTTTCTACCTGTTTATTGCCAACAATAACTAGCGGGTGGTGGTCAACACTGAGATTTTGGGGAATGACTGGTGTTACGGGAAGGATAGGTCGATTATCATTCCTGACTGTTTCTTCCGCATGGGCTGATCTGCTGTCTTGCTCTCCAACCGTCGCTGGAACTATAACTGTGCCAAGTACCATCTTAAGCACATTTTTTGCATGACCCTAGCTTCAACTTCACCTTCTTACTCTTCTGGTGTCATTCTCCTCTTGGTTTCAAAAAATTACATGAATAATTGTTTAAACAAAGTGATAAACTAAATAGCATTTTTAGTTAGTCTTAAATATGTTGTGTGAATAATTGTTTAAACAAATTATATTCAATAAGACTTTTAAAATTAAAAAATAATAAAAGAATTAACTTAAGTATTTGATAATAAGTTATTTAAGAAAAAAAAACTCTAATTAAAGTCGTGCATCAATGTATAACTTCAATTGTAAAAAAAAATTATAATATGACTTTTTTCATAATAAGATCGTATTTCAAAATATGATTTATCATATCTAATTTTTTTAAAAAGTTTACCCATTTTAGAAAAATTACCTCTAACAAATCAATCAAAAATACTTACAACTACATCAAATGAACATATCTCTTTAAAGTTAGATGTTCCAAAAGCATTTTAGCGACAAATCATTTTAATATCTCGCAATTTCATAATTTTGATTCGATTTTGCATAAAAATTATTATTCCACTTTCAACATGTTATTAGGCCTCTACATTTTTAGGTAATAATTTGAGTCCCCAGAACCGTATTTGTTTGCATGCTTAAGTGTACAGATCGTTGCCAAGTGATGCAATATTTTTCCTCATGTTATCAAGATTGGATGATTTCAGTCTTATATTTGATCGTGAGTAAAATCTATTGTTGTGTGTCTAGTTAGTTCATCGGTTTAGTAAATGTACTTGTATTTGATGCAAGAAATTAGATTTTCATTTCAAAAGTTAGTAGTTAAAGAAAAGCCTTTTTTTAAAGGTGTGGAGTCAGTTTCGTAATGCATATATGATAGATAAACAAAAAAGGTGTATATAGCACAAACATCAATTACATAACCATTATTAACTCCCATAAATTATCTGATGGACCAATTGTTCAGATCCATGTCCACCGCAGCGGGTAAAACGACATCCTACTTAACTAGGAAATTTACACTTTGGAAAGAAAATATAAACATCTAATCTTCCACAGACGGAGGAGTATACGACATTGCTAAGTAGACAGTGCTGTATACATGCAGACAGCAACTAATGGGGCTTGCTCCTTCACATTGACCGATCACAGTGGTACAGGGGCGCACCATTTCTCCACCACAAAATATTCCAGAAACTGGCACTCCTGGAAAATTTTCCAAGAAAGGGGAGCTATCAACATTGCAACGTCCAAAGAAGGATTCACCCCGGCCGTAACAAGCAAAAACTAGACCCCCAAAAACATTGGCAGCATTGTCTCCATCACCCTTGAAACTCCTAGAATTTCTTTCCAGTGTAATATTCTTGAGGGCATCATGGACCTTGGTTAATGACGCCAAGGCAGTGTCGGGATCTGAATAGTAGAACTGAAAGAAATCTCCTGTTTTTATGCCAATGCCATCAACATATAGATACTCTTCATCACCTCTGTCCAAAACAAAAACTTGACCTTTTTATTAAGAGCAATATTGTTTATATAATAAAATGGGGGAATGGTACAAAATAGGGGTCTCATAAGAGGGGAAACAAAAAATCAAATGGCCAGTAACCTCATGATGCCGATGGTGACAATTTTCCTAGAGGCTATGGAGAACCTTAGATACGTTTTTAAAGGCCAAGGATTGCAAGTAGACCCATAATTTTATTCGAAAGGGGAACAAAATTGAGTTATCTAACAGGGCATGTCCAAGCTACAGGAAAAGAAAACAATATAAATTTCATTTCTGATGTCAGCAGAAGCACCTTTCTCCTTTTCTCTGTGGGCACCGTTTTTTTCATTAAGTGATAAAATAATACAATCTATCACAGCACAAAAATAGCCTAGAGTTTCAAATATCTTCAGAAGTCTTGGGTAGATCCGTATTTTATTCTGGACAGAATCCGTGTCATGTAGGATAGTACAAAAAGAATGTAGGAAACCATGCATACATGCATTTGTCATTTTCCAAAGAATTTGAGTTCAGATTAATAATTACAATTGTAAATACACCAAACAACAATTAATGAATTAGAAGATTGCTTCTAATTCCCATACACTTAACATCCAAGAATCTGAAGTACAATAATAATTATACACTGCCAATCTGCAATGGTTTATCAACATAGCACAAGAATCTCCAAAAGGGTAAAACAACTTCTTAAGGCTGACATTAAAAAACCAACAATTTACCAAATTTGTAAATTTAGACTACTATACCTTTTAGTTGTGTTCCTTATAAGCCACCGTAATTCATCACCCTATTATCTAAGTTAGCTAAACTAATATTAGCATCAGCAGTTGAAAATGACTAAGTAAATGGAAAAATGGGATTATAAGCTATGGCACTAAAAGGTAGATGTAGCAAAACATCTTCCTAACATTCAGTCTTAGAAAAAAATCGTAAACAAATCCAGAAACTGAGAAAACAATTGACATTGATGAGGAAGTAGGACATCTAGAGGAGTAGTTTTAAATCATACCCCACAATTCCATGATATGCAACACATGTTCTCGGCATTGGCTTCTCTGCTCCAGTGGAGAATTTCCTATGTTTAATTACCCCAATGTACAAATCAGGAGATTCAATATGATTCTCCAGCTGCCACATTTTTTAATGTTAAGAAAATAAAAACCATATATAGGAAGATATCAAAACGAAAAATAATAACCACAAGAAGAAAACATATATCGAATTAGTTTTACAAAACTTCAAGTTGATATGATAACCAAATACAAATAATAGCAGCATCAGCCAATATTATTTCCTCTTTTCAACAAAAATATGCATATCAAATTTAATACCCAAGTGCATAATGACATTTTCCATGACCCATCATCATCAGTAAGCATCAACACACAGATTGTTTCTCCTTCAAGAAAAATATGCTGACAAAATACAAGAGAGCCAGGTAATGGCATGGGAGTGTTTAAATGCTTAACTAGGCTATTTGCAATAGATGCAATGAATTTACTATCTTCAATTTCCTCCAAACAACTTTAAAAATCATGTTGAGCTATTACAATTATCATCCCCATAGAAAATGAAGAAAAGAAAATAATTTTAGAACAAAATGCAACGTTGTTTTACTAGAGAATACCGAATACCAATAGTCAGTTACAATCTACCCACAGTAGAGAAATAGTTAGCAGAATTAGTTAGTTGGAGAAGTTTGAAGAACGGTTATGGCTTTAATTGAAAGCAAGGGTAGAAGGGACTTGCAGGTTTTTTAGCAGTGAGAAAACAAAGCAGTGGTTAGTTGTAAGGGGAAACCCTTGGAGGAGATATATTTAATTGTCAATGAAGAATTTCTTTTTATTTCTTTCCTTGGTACATTTCCCTTTTCTTATTTGCAGGATTGAAACAGGTTTCCACTTGTAATGGGAAATTTCAAATACCATCACACTCCAAATTAAGATAGCATTCCGTAATTCATAATATACACTTTAGCATCACAATTAATGAAAAGACCAGTTACAATTCCATTAGTATATTTATTTCTCATTTTAAATTCAAATTTCTAGTAAATTTGTAGGTCCCTTATGGCATTAGCCTGATCAATAATTTAGTAAAGGAAAATAAGCCATGGACACACCAAGCTAGTAGAAACCCAGGAAAAAAAAGTGTAGATACAAGAGGGAGTACAAAGGGAATTTAATTATTGAATAAAAGAAGTAAAACTTATATTTAACTTAATGAATAAAATACCAGTAATGAAAGTAATAACCACTTAATAATATGTAATAGCATCAAGAACTTCAAAAAACTTTATGTAGTCCTATTTATTGTTCTTAGCCACTCATCAACGACAAATAACCACTCAACAGTTGCCATTGGAAAAATTCTTGTAAACTTTATGGATAAAATATTTTCACTTGTAATTGTTAGAAATTCACTAGGAATAAAAAATAAATAATCACTTAACAAACAACATAGGTTTTTGCAGAATAATGTCACATATCCTTAAAAAGAATATTATTTATTGTTGTTAGCCACTTAGGCAGAGTTTAACCTAACTTATTTTTGGGCTTCTCTCTTCCTAATAGGGAGAAGTTGAGCCAAACATAATTTTAAGAAAAAGGAGCTTTTAAAAGGCAGTCATTTTAATGAAAAAAATTTATAAAAGTAGTTCTAGAAGCTTTCAGCTGCTTCTCCTTTTCTTTCTTTATTTTAAATCTCAAAGATCCAAAAACACTACCCAAGAAATTTTAACTTGTTATCCTTTAAGCTTATAAATTTATAGAAATACCAAATATATTTTACTTAAATTTAAAATTCTAATTTTTATTTTTAAAGTGGTTTTAAGCTCCAAGAAAATAATCATCACTACCTTGTTTGGATCAAATACCTCACTCAACAGATTTTTCCAAATTTCTTCTTAGATTTATGCATTTAGTATAGAACATCCAAAAGATATTCAAAACTATGTTTCTAATATATAACTTAGTTGATAATTAAACACCTAGGGAGACCAAATAATCAACTCATTAACATGCAATAGTATGTGAACCTCGGCAGAACCACACAAAAAATTTTGGAAAGCCTATTGCCCTATCAATGGATCCTAACAAACAGCCACTCACAAATTTCTTCATAAGGGTATTTTATTTATCAGAGGAAATCTAATGGTCATTCTTTAAAAATAAGTTTAGACTAGTTCTTAATAATTGTAAATAATTTAAACCTATTTTTCCAGAAAAAAAAAATGAAGTTTTAATTTTTCCTAAAATGCATATATTGCGCACCAAATTGTTGATATCAAGTAGAATAGTCTGACCATCAAGAAGTTCCTGTTCCCCTTCCCTCCTAGCAGTTAACCATGTTGCACAATCAGTGGTGTTTGGTCTAACTGAGGCTGCCTTGTATCTGGGACCAACAGTTGAAACACCATCTGAGAATGCAACATGAAACCTAACAGTTCCTGCAGCGAAATCAATCCATAGCAAAGGTAAGTAACTTATAAAAAAAAAAACTAAATTGAAAGACTTGTAAGTATAATATCATGCAATGTGTCTGGAAACAATCACAGTAAAATAATATACAATATAGAACATTATTCAACATGTTCAGACATATAAAGGAAACAAAAGAATAGCAAGACATACCCAAAGACCTGTCTCTATCCTGAGCAAATACAAGAGCAACAGCTTCTACGTTTCCTTTTTTACTACAAATGATTCTAGAATCATTCCCACTGTTGTGTACAAAGTCAAAGGAGCCTCTCTCATCACCCACAATGACTGTGTCCATAGGCATGGCATAATCTGAATTAAATAAAAACAAGACATCATTTTTGAAAAACTAACGAAAATGTAGAAGGGCACAAGCCTGTAGCAAGAGGGTATAAATTAAAGTCATGCTCGAAATTACAGAATACCTGAGTAAAATACAGTTGCCCACTCTAAGGTCAAGTATCAAATTGCAATTATGTAAAATAAAAACATTGTGCACATAATAAACCCCAAAAAATAATTTCCTTCCTGGCTATTTTATCACAGACACACTACAAATGAGGAGATTATCAGATAAACTTCATAGTCTACCAATCAAAACACCAATTTCCTCCCATTATTTTCCTGATAAAGTTACGAGTAAATAAAAATATGAAGCAAAAGAACATAATTAAGTGACATAATAAATACAGGCATAACAAATTATATGCATATAAATATCACTCACCCAATTTCTCTAGAACCAATTTCATGTCACTGCTTGCTTCCTATATGCAGCCAAATCAGAGTGTTAGGAACAGATCAAAGAATGACATAAATAATGAGATAGTTAATAAAATAAAATTAGTAAATAAGTGGGCATCCATAAGCTTACTCCAAACAATATGATGCCCATAGGGAATGGGCGACCAGAGACAGTGGCTGAATATTCCTTAATACCCAATATAAAATTGTCAATGCATGCTGCTTGAGATGTCTGGTGTAAAAAATACGTAAAATCATAAGCAAACCCTGCTTTAAATGTAACCATTCAATATAAAGATGCAAAAGGTTGCAACTAAGCAACTGAGGTAAGGCAAGATTAGTGACTGATACTGGTTGAGCTACACACTTCTAGTGCCTTAAACGCCTTGCTGGTTCAGAGTTTAGACAAGCACATCTATAACATCTTATTTACAAAAAGAAAAATCAAAATACTAAGCCATCTAATATGCTAACTGTGATGTTAAAAGACGATCAAATAATCATAAGTTAGTCTTTGGGACTCTTCTATTTTGCAAAGTGTGCAGTAAATAATGTGAAAAACCAATGCAAGACACACAAATATTTCACTGTCATGTTCGTATTATATTCTTTAACACCTTTCTTGAATGAGCCATCTCTAGCTTCTTGGTATCAACCCCTTAACTTGGGTTGTACATGCATTCATTTTCAAAATGTCTTACTATCTCAATCTCATATTACATATTCATTTTCTGAGAAGGCACAATCCAAATTCTTAAAGGAATTTTACTACCTTTGGTGGCCGCCGCAACGGCACAGCTTCAACTTTCAATCCAGGCAAATAGCCAACAGTCAAAACTATGCCTTCATTTACAAACTTTGCATATGCTTCCTCACCAAAGCCACTAAAAAGGGCACCCCATTTGACCTACATAAAATCACCCTAAGTTTACTCGAGTTCAGCAAATGTCTACCACAACAGAAAACAAATATCAAAACCCACCTCTTTAAACTCATCAGTAACAGCATCCCTTCCAATAATACCATTTGCTACGGTAACAATAACAGGAATATTAGATCCCATTGACTGTCTAATCTGCGACATAAGCATTAAATCAATTGCATAGTACAGACCAAAAAAGAAACAAATTAAAGAGGAGTTAGGTGTTAATTCCATACAAGACGCAGGGTCTTGGAATTGCTGAATCCAGTTCCAGTATTGGCAATAGCAAAATGGGGTCGAATTGGCTCCGACAGAACCTTTTTCACAACTTCGTTCACGGCATCCTATTCGAGAGTGTACAGCGATAACTGACGTCATTCCGTAGATCTATTACCGAACCCTAATTGAGTAAATTGTGAGATAGAAAGGGACGTACGGGGAGCGAAGGGTTGATAGAAAGCGCGGAAGAGAGTTTGGGACGAGAGAGGATGCGATTGCAGACAGAGTTCCATGTTTTGCTGACGCAGGCAGCGGAAGCGAAGGGTAGAGCAGGAAGCCTCGCTAGAATGTTCTGCAGAAGATCATCGTTCAGCATACTCAAGCTTGAAGCTTCCATCTTCGTGCTCGATTTTCGGGATGACGATGGCTTCACCATGGCGGTTCAACACCATGTACGTGAACATCACTCTCCAACAAAACGCACCTGGAAGGAAATGGCGAAACGTTTTCTCTCGTGGGCCACCAATTGGGCCTTTGGACCAACACAAGTCTTTTCCTACAAAATTAGTTAATTTTGTTATTATTATTATTATTATTATTATTATTATTATTATTATTATTATTATTATTATATGTTAATTTCTTACTAAATGATAATATAAAAATATGTTAATTAAAATTTTTTTCAATGCTGTGAATTTTTAGTGTAATTTTTTTCTATTTTGGAGTCTAAACGATCTAGTATCATGTGATTAAACGAGGTATTTAATAGATTTTAATCATTAATAAATATAAATTATTTGTATGATATAATTTTTTTTAATGAAGACAGGTTTGGAAATTTAATTAAAAATAATATAAAAACTAGATTGTGAAGTTAAATACTAAAAGATAATATATAAAAAAAAAAGTCAGTCATAGAAAAAACTACTATATCATATCGTCGGAGACCTATGAAGTATTGTTACAAGTATATATCATATTGTTTAATGATTGGTAACATATTATGTTCTATATCCGTTTAATATATATATATATATATATATATATATATATATATATATATTATTTTTAAATATATAATATTTAAAAAAATTAAAATTATATTAATTTATTTTTTATTAATTATATTATTAATTTTTAATTATATTTATTACATAGAGAATAAATAAAAAATTATTTAAGAATATTTTTAATTAGAAAATATTAATAAAAAATTAATAAATTTATGAAAAATAATAAAATTAATATTTTAATTAGAAAAACAACCTTAATTATCATATATTTTAAAATAAAAAAAATAATATTTATTAGAAAAAAGATAATAATATTTATTAAAGTTAATTTTGAGATTTTTAAAATAATCATTAAATTGTATTGTTAAAAAAAGAGTTATCATCAATTAAAACAGGGAAGTGATAATTTGACATTACTTCATTTCAAACATCTAATTAACAATTCCTTTTATCAATAAAATAATATATACATTTTTATCATTATAAAATTAATAAAAATAGTTGTTAAGCTATTTTTTTTGTTTATGATGGAAGTTGTCATTAAAACAAGTGGAATACAAAATTGGGTCAACTGGTGTATGTTTGATGTGCGCCAAAAAGTACTCTCATGTTATGTATTATATATTTAAACTATTTCTTAAAAAAAGATTATAAAATCTATTCAATCATTTTATTCAGAGTTAACATATTGTTTTATTTTTAATAATCTTATTTTTTATTTAATATATATATATATATATATATATATATATATATATATATATATATATCTGTGTGTGTGTGTGCGCTTTCCATTTTCCTGAAAATGAAATAAATATTTATTTTTAAGATATACAATTATAAGTAATAAATATGTGTTATTCAATTATAAGTAATAAATATGTGTTATTCTCTTCCTATTTTAATGCTTTTATAAAAGAAAAAAAAAATATTTACAGGAATTACACTACAACACGTAAAACATCAATATGGATAACTTTTATTCTCGAGTCATATAAGGTCATTTGGTTAAGAAGGATCTAAATATCCTTATTTGTAAACCATTGGATAAATCTAGCGGTTGAGATTAAAATTATTGGCTTTTGAGGACAAATGTCAGGTTTAGCTTTAAAACTACTAAGTCATTCATAAACATACTAACTGCAGAATACGTATGTAATTCTCCTCAAATCATATTAATCATTATCTCTTCAAAACTTAATTGATTTCTCATAAAAAAAATTATGTTCAAAATAAATCCTTGATAATTTTGCTATTAAAAAAGAAGAATGAAATGAAATTGTAATATTACAAAAGAACAACAAAAAGAATATTAACATATTTCTTAGGAGTAGATTATTCTATAGAGCAATTATTATATGACAAAGTAGTAACTACACACTAAACCATATAATTTAACCTTAAAATTTATTATTGTAAAAATTAATTCAAAAGCAAGCATATTAAATTTTATCATAATTTGTTACATTTATAATTTATTATTGTAAATTTGATAATTATAATAAAATGTTTATTTATTTATTTTATAATAACAAGAGTTAATAGATATTATTTTGTAAAAGAATTACAATAATAAATATATTCAAATATATTGATTTAAAGTATGATGATTTTGAGCTTTTCGTGGTTGAGTTATGTTGCAGGTTGAAAACAAAAAATTGTTGTTCTGTAAAGACATTTGATATTTTAGTTAATATTAAAAAATGAGGATATAGATAGTAGAAAAGTGTATTTGAATGAGACGATATGTGAAGAGTGGAGTAGTTATATTTATAGCTCTTTTGTCAAGATATTTTAGCTAGTAAGTTATACATGTTTTTAATGTGAAATTCTTTTATCTATATTCCAGTAATTAGGTATATTTATTTTGTACTTTATTACTACATTAATATACATTTAAGAGGATTAAATGATAATATATTTTCATTTAATGTCATATATTTAATGAGAAAATTTAGGCAATTACACAAGTCCCTCTAATTGCAGTATAGATGAATTGAGTTCACTAAGTTTAATAAATCAATCAATGTTATACACTTTGGTTTATATAAGTTAATTATTAAGTTGTTTTTATACGTGGATAAAGTTGATTCAATGATCTAATGCCTTTTTAGACAACATTTTTTATCGAGTTATATTTTATTTGAACTATAAGTTTATAAAGAAACATTAAAGTTAAGGTGAACTTGATGTAAAACTATGGCCGATGTTGATTGATTTAAATCTATGATCAATGTGTGATCAATTTAAAGTTATGATGGAGGTCAAGAACATTGACCTACAATGTCACCAAGAAGGATGGTGAAATGATAAGACTTGAGGTTGAGGAGAGCAACAAAGCCTTCCAAGCTGAGTTGCTCGAAGTAGAGAAACAACTTCTTAAAGTATACAAGGACAAATAGACTTGCATTATAAATCCTTATATAAATGTATATTTTTCTTATAATAATATGAAGTTAACGATTGTTCTATATTTGTAACAATATGTTCAATTTAGTGGTATCAAGTGTTATGGTGTTCTATGGCAAAATAACATGACATTATAAGACATCAATTGTTATGACGTATTATTGTTCAAAGATGTTTGTTTTTCTAATATTAGGTTGGAGATACTATAATGTTGATAGCATATTTGAGATGATAATTTTTTAGCAACGTGTTAAGACGTCGATTTTCTTGACACGTTTAGTCAAGTTTGAGAGAGAATCCTTGGTCGATAAGGTTGTGTATTCAAGGATTTCGAGCTCTAAATAACCAAGGAACAACTTCTTAAGGTTTTTGGCAATTGCTTCAAGAAGGAGGTCAACCAGTCATAAGCCCTAGCATAGATATTGAGACTTTTCTTTAAGAAATATTTTAGTTTGACCAACAATTAGTATATGTACTAGATTGTCCACCCCTTAAACCTAGTTTTCACTAGGTGGATAATCTTTAATGACGAGTTGTGCAAGTTTGTTGCCATTTTTCACTAGTCCTTATTAGGAGGATATGTCTTTAAAGACAAGTTGTGTTAATTTCTCCCCTTCATACTAACTCTTATTAGGAGAATAATCTTTAACAACAAATTGTGCAAACTCATCACCCTTTCTCACTAGTTTTTACTAAGATGATATGTCTTTAAAGACAAGTTATGCTAGCTTCACTCTTTCACACTAGTTCTTATTAGAAGGATAATCTTCAACGACAAATTGTGCAAGCTTGTTACCCTTACTCACTAGTCCTTAGTAAGAGAATAGGTCTTTGAAGACAAATTGTACGACGAATTGTGTAAGCTACTGCCCTTGCTCACTAGTCCTTACAAGGAGAAAATGTCTTTGAAAAAAAGTTAAACTAGCTTCGTCCTTTCACACTAGCTTTTGCTAGGCGATAATTTGTTTTATGACAAACTCAACTAACTTCGTCCTTTCACACTAGTTCTTGTTAAGAGAAAAGAAATTTATGACTAGCTTTACTAGTTTCACCCTTTCACTAGCTCTTGCTAATAAAAAAAAATTATATGTGGAGCTCCACTAGCTTCATCTTTTCACATTAGTTTTGTAATAAATATTTTTGTATGACGAGCATTACTAGTGTCACTCTTTCAAACTAAGTCTTTATTAGGTGATATTTTTTTTATGACAAACTTTGCTAGCTTTGCCCTTTCACACTAACTCTCCATTAGGCAAACAATTTTTATGATGATAGCTTCCTCCTTTTACACTAACTCTTGCTAGAAGAATAATCATTGACAACAAATTGTGCTACCTCCCATCCTTTCTCACTAGTCCTTAGTAGGAGGATTTGGCTTTAAGGATAAGTTGTGCTAGCTTTATCATTTTACACTAGCTTTTGCTAAGCGATAATTTTCCTTATGACGAGCTCTACTTGCTTCTTCCTTTCACACTATCTCTTGTTAGGCAAATTTTTTATGATGAGCTTTGGTACCTTTACCCTTTCACACTATCTCTTGTAAGGTAAATAACTTTTTATTATAAGTTATACTAGTTTCACTCTTTCACACAAAGGCGGAGGGAGGGGAGGACTGGCGAGGGCCACGGTCCCCCTAAAAGAAAACCCTTTTAAAATTTTATTAAGAAAATATATTATGATCTTCCTAAAATATTATTTGTTTGACTATCTCCTTTAAAACTAAATTTTTTTTCCGCCACTGCTATCACATTAACTCTTTACTAATTAGATAATAATATAAGACATAATTTATTTAAAAATATTTACCTTAACTATTGTATGTCTTTATATGTGTTACTTGGGATATCTCATTCATCAAGTAATGTATGATGGATGTCATCAATGTTGGCTTTGCGAGATTGATGTGAAATACACATTGATCTTAACTCGGATAAGTTGTTTTATGACTTCTATTTATAGCCTTGTATAAAGTGATTTAATTATTCAACTCAAATAAAATATTTTATGACTT